ATTTAAAAAAATTGGATAAAATCGAGTGATGAATCGGAGCGAGAATTAAGAGAAGCGGTCACAATTACCGCCGACGGCGGTAGATGTACGGGGAGAATCGATCTCGTCCGTCGTGCCTAGGGTGGAAACTGGAGCCGAGCTAGTACTGAAACGATTGAGAAGCAGCCGGCGCTGGCGCTGATTAGGATTGACAAAATAAGCGAATCGAAGGTTTGAATAAGGGGCGAAACCAGAGAGAGGCAGGGTAGGGAACTGACGCTTCCGGGCCGCCGGTGGCGGAATACTCGTACACGCGGATGAGACGGCCATATTCATAGCTTTGCTTGGGTTGTTCTTCTCTCGCCGTCTTCCTGTCTCCGATTTTATCCGGCGAAACACAGGTTGATTTGAAAACTACTCATGATGATGATGATGATGATGATGATGAACTGAAGTTCTAAGGTCGATTGAGCTACAAAAGTCAGCCTCCTAAGGTTCGGGATGAGGTTTACGGACCGGCCCGACCAGAGCTGGATGTTGCCCCGTCGGGTCGAACCGAAGAAACCAATGTTGAGAACCTGATCTCGTGTTTGATTTTGGAACAATATTCGTGTTGTTTAATTAATTATTTAAATAAAGTATTATGTTAAATTCCGTTTATTTTCAAATAATTTAGTAATTTTTTTTTTAAATATGTTCGAACTCAAATTTGATATTATTGAACGTTCACAAACATTATCATTTTCGTAAATTGTCTAGTTTTTTTGGTGAAACTCAGCTCGATTAATAAATCAAGAAACTTTATTCAAAACTCAAATAATTTTTTTTTTTTGAAAACGTTATGTTCGTTTGTAGCCCTGTTTCATATCCACAAGTGAGGACCCAGACTTGATGGTAAAATGGATCCTGCATAATTAATTAATAAGGGGTGATTAGATATGAATTCAACTAGTAAAAAATTGATTATTTTTTAACTATAGTTGAGTTTAGAAAAAGTAGTATGCTTAGTTGTTAGTGGATATATTAAAATAATACTTAAATTAAAATAATTAAAATTGATTTGATGGAAAAGTAGGAGAAAATGATTGGAAGTGATGGTTAATTAAAATTATGTGAGTAGATGAATAGTGAATTAAAATTGATGTGATGTGTAATAATGATTGGTTGATATTATTTAATTATATTGATAATATTGAAGATAATTGAGTTAAGTTAAAATAAAGTTAAATTTAAATTTTAATTGAAATATTTACTGTACAATTCATACACAATGAATGTTGATTTCAATTCATACACAATGAATGTTGATTTCAATTCATACACAATGAATGTTGATTTCTAGTCACAGTCAGCATCTAGTGAGTTGAGTAAGATCAGCTATCAACATTCATCATTGTTACATATCTTTTGACACTTTCTCCCGTCATCATAACGAAAAGAAACAGAAAAATAATAATATTAATAATGAAATTTCCAGAAACTCAACTTAATTACAGTCACTATTATATATATTTACACTCCTTTGGTGGTAAATTTTAAACCTTTGTGCGGGTGTTTTGTTTTTTATTTGTTTTGTTGAAACTTATATAATAATGTTAAGGAGCTAACTGTTGGCTCCGTTACAGAGCTAACAGCCAATGGGACAGCTCCATGTAGAGCTGTTCCACATAGTTCCAATGTGGGACAGTCCTACATGGAGCTATCTCATTGACTGTTGACTCCTTAGTTTTATTGAAAACTTAAACTCAATCATTTGTACAATTGAATTAAGGGAAAGATAAGGTAAAAAGAAAAATAGTTGAATTAAGTCATTAACATACCTACACATAGCACGTACAGGCCACCAGCAAAATTAACTGCGTGCAACAAGAAGCACATATACGTTTTAAAGAGGAAAGGACAAAATTGGATTTTGTGGTTAGAAAATAACATAAAATCATTATCATAAGGTAAAGGGCTTGCTTGGCTGAATATATTATCATGGACTGAATTAATCTCCACATCACCGTCAAGCTATATCACGTCATTATTCTTCTACTTTTAATATTACTTTGTAAATAGAATGTCTATCACGCATGTAATCTAAGCAAATGCGAAAAACATGTGATCCATTTGTTAAATTTAATTTTGTTATACATTTTTACCTCGTTGTTAGGCAAGCTTGATGTTTAGATTATCATACATTTTTGAATAATATGTTTATGTATGTCATATTTTTAAAAGTAATATATTTTTTTGTTTTAAAAAAAATACATGATGTGATCATTTGTATACTACCTAATATGTTTGGATTTATGAACTTGGATGCAATTTGGGAATACATGATTAGTAAAAGAACAACATGTATACTTAACTGGCCACGAACCACGGCCTTTAGAGCATCCACAATGCTTTGGGTTTCTTTTTGTATATGTGGCATATAATTGGACTTGAGTTTTAAATGACATGAACAAACCTAAGTAAAAAAACTCAAAAACCTTGCAATGCAAAACTAAAAAGACTAGGTCTAGCATACATGCCAACCAATAGAAATGCTCTAATATGTTTTATTCATTAAAAAAAATTAAATTAAGAACAAATGATGAGTGTTTGGGTTTGTACTTGGGTCCAAAATAGACCCAAGTGTAGACTTGGTCTCTTTTTTTCATTGCCACATAAGCTAGACCATGTCCACTTTTAATTGCATTGAGAAGTATTTTTTTATAGACTAAGTCTATTTCCCATGTGGCATGTGATTTTTTGTTAAGAGACCCAAAGCATTGTGGGTGCTCTTAGGGCTATCAGCTATGGCAAACTCACCATTACAATATTAGTCATAAATGCAAGTCCACCTACAAAAAACACTATATTTAGTTAATATGCAATTATACTTTCTTTCTCCTTACCTGGAAATGCAGGATATGCAGTCGCTATTCAATTGTTCTTATTTAGTTAAAAAATAAAAAATAAACCCTTTTATCTTGAGCGCCGACAGATTGTTTTATTTTTAGTTGAATAACTTACTAAATGATAGAGACGAGCTCGCAATAGCTTTTTTGAACAAATATGATCGGCTCTGAGTCTAGTTTATTTATTTCTTATTATATTTTTCTTTTAGTGCATTTTTATCTCCTTAGATATTTAATTAGTAGGTAAATAATTATTTTGGTAGTCAAGATATGTTTGGACTCTTGTTACTTTTATCTGACTTAGGGAAACAGAACGCGACAGTTTTTGGATGAATAATATTTCTGCGTTGTGAACTTTTGTGAGAGAGTAAATCAGATTTTTCCCGTTCGTATCACGCTCTACATCAGTTGGTATCCTGAGACCAGCGACGATCCAAGATGCCGCCCAAGAGAAATAACGCCATCGACGATCGTTTCCAGCGAATGGAAGAGCAATTCCAAGGGATGGACGACCGATTCACGGACCTTTCAACGGGGATCGAGAAATTGCGTCAGGCAATGAGTACCATGATGGAGGAGGCTCGTACGAGATGCGACGGCGGCGACCGGGCCATACGCGGTGGCTTTCGCGGAGGTCGTGGGGGACGCGGCTATGGCAGGGCTCCCCGCTAGCGTTCACCAGGGACTCCGTCCGGGGACGAGGACGATGACGACACCGTCAGCGAGGTCAACCAGTTCGCTGGAGCACAACGACGGCGTCCAGCGGATGATAACGTCTTCGGGCAGGGGGATCGCAGCGGTGGTCGTGCTCCACGCGGCTTTGGCGGCGGAGGGTTCAGACATCGTGAGGGACGGTTTGCGAGGGGCAGCGCTGACGCCGACGATGAAGGCGAGTGGGGACCCGAGGACCTAGGGTTTGGTGACGGCAGTCATCGTTACCGTGGTGAGGATGATCGGGACTTCGGCCAACAGGAGCGGGCCGAGTTCCGTGAGCGTGACGATTATGAGAGAAGGGGACCGCACCCACGTGACGGCAGGCGTCTGATAGAAGGGGGCGATGAGTCGCGTTGGGAGCAAGGGTTTCGTGTTGAAATTCCCGAGTTCGACGGCGGGGTGGACGGATCGAAGTTTATCGATTGGTGGGCTTCAGTTGAGGCCGCCCTCGCTTTTAAGGAGGTCCCGGAAGGGAGGCATGTTGCTTTAGTCGCCACACATTTTCGGGGTCGAGCGGCAGTATGGTGGATGCAACTCACCAGCTTATGGCATCGTCAAGGGAAACCGCCACTATCATCGTGGATGAAATTCCGAGAGTATGTAGAGCGTGAGTTTGTTCTTTACAACTACGATAGCCTTGTTTATCAGCAACTGCAAAATCTACGTCAAGAGACACGCTCGGTAAATAAGTATACGACAGAGTTCCATCGGCTTTTGACTCGCGTCGACTTACGTGAGACGAAAAATCAGCTAGTTTCTCGGTATGTAGGAGGGTTACGTACGGGGATTCGCGATATGTTGAATATGTTTCAACCGGATTCGGTGTCGGATGCTCACCAACGAGCCCTCCTCGTTGAGATTCAGTTGGGGCAGAAAGCGGGACAACCCGGGACTTCATCTTCACGTCCGGAAGTGGCAATGGGAATAGGCCCGCAAGCCGCGCGTTCGGAACCAACGGCGAGTGGCGGGTTTGGCCTCGGCACAGCCGCCGGTCGTACTCCGGCATCTGGTGGAGGGATTCGATGCTTTGGGTGCGGGAGCTTGGCCATCGACAGACGGCTTGTCCAAAAGGGGCCGGGTCACGTGCTTTGTTCGCCGAGGAAACATCGGAATATTCGGCAGCCGCATTATATGATGGCCCTCCTATTTTTGACAAGGAGCCGGAGGTTCCTGAGGTGCGTGTCTCGGGGGACGTAGGACATGCGCTTGTCCTTCGACGGTCTCTCTTGTCACCGCACATCGAGTCCATTGATGAGGGCCAGCGTCGAAAACTTTTCGAATCTACGTGCACCATAGGCGGTCGGGTGTGTCGTTTTGTTATTGATTCTGGGTCCTGCGAAAATGTGATCTCTACTGAGGTTGTGGCAAAGCTTGGGTTGTCGACGGAGCAGCATCCAGATCCTTATGCTCTCGCATGGATACAGCGTGACAACGCTGTCCCTGTTGACCGACGAGTGTTGGTGTCTTTCTCTATTGGTTCTGCATATAAGGATGAGGTGTGGTGTGATGTCGTGCCGATGGATGATTGGCACCTTCTCTTAGGGCGTCCTTGGCAATTTGATCGCGCCGTGTTGCATAATGGGCACGTTAACACGTATGCGTTCTTGTTAGGGGGCAACCGCTTTGTTTTACATCCCTCGGCCCCCTGTTCGGTTCCTTGGCCACCGCCATCAACGGCTTTATTCCTTTCTCGCGCAGAGGCATGTGAGGAGGTGTTCGGTTCGTTGGTTGACCGTTCGATGGTGTTTGATGTGGGCGACTTTGCGTGGGTTGTTTCCACAACAGATGGTCGGCTCGGCCCCTACGAGATAGTCGAACACCTTAGTCCGGATGCCTACCGTCTCTGTTTGCCGTCACATGAGTGTTCGCCGGATGTTTTCCATGTGACGCAGTTGGCCCCTTTGCAGCTCAGCGACTCAAACGAAGACGAGCTCGGTTCGGATTCGAGGGCGAATCCTTCTCAACCCGGGGAGGATGATGGAGACGAGCTCGTAATAGTTTCTCTGAACAAATATGATCGACTCTGGGTCTAGTTTATTTATTTCTTATTATATTTTTCTTTTAGTGCATTTTTATTTCCTTACTTATTTAATTAGTAGGTAAATAATTATTTTGGTAGTCAAGATATGTTAGGACTCTTGTTACTTTTATCTGGTTTGGGGAAACAGAACGCGACAGTTTTTGGATGAATAATATTTCTGCGTTGTGAACTTTTGTGAGAGAATATCTCATATCCTTCTCGTTCGTATCACGTTCTACATCACTAAACCTACATGCTTTCTTATTTCTGACTTTGTTCTTTCAAGTGCAGAATTTCAATTGCCAATTTATGAACTATTGAGATGTATAAAGGATTATATTATCAGCCAATTATGGTGTAATAGTAAACACAATTTTAATAAGAGAATTTGCAACTTATATTGTGTAGGCCTTCTGTTTTTGCAGCAACTCAAATCATGGATACTTATTCATAATTTGCTAGTTCGAGTGCATCATTACCACAGAATCATGTGAAAAACCACACAAATATATAACCAAGATACATAATTTAGGTTAAAAATTAAAACCAAAACGCATTGCAAATTTCTTTTTCAAATTTTAATAAACAAAATTGGTAGCTGCCAAGAAACTCCTGGAATTGATTAATCAACAAATGTACTTTACTTTGCAACAAATGAGGAAGGAAAAAAATGGTAAAACTCAACACAATTGTGTGCTTAATTCAGTAATTGGGGGTATTATTCGTACCCAAATTTAAATGTTGAACAACTTACAAAAATCAAACTCTAAAAATAAATGAAACAATATCAATACAGAGTATATCATACAGAAACATATACTATCAGCTACAACAAGGTAACATGCATACTCAAAAAAAAATAAAAATAATAATAATAAAAAAAAAAAATCGGAGCAGTAAATAGAGAATAAATAATAATATAATCAAGGATAGAATTTATATATCACAGATCTGGTGCGACGGCGGAATTAATACCCGGCGACGGCGTCAGCGGACGAGAGAGGCGGACCTGCGGCCGCCGTCGAAGCTTTTGGCGTAATCGTAGCGGAAGGTCTGCGGGAGTCCGACATTATCGGAGCCGAGGAGCCTCCGGCGGAGCTGTGTGGTGGCCTTGTAGAGCACGTGGCGCCAGCTGCCCCTACTGTTGCTGCCGATTGCGGCGGCCTCCTCCTCGTTCATCTCCAGATCCGCCGCGAAGGTTGGCTTCCGGGCGAGAATCCAGCCCCAACCCCGCTCCCACCAGCCCCGGATCGAGCTGCCGGCTGCGGCGGACATCGACTTGGAGCGGCGCAGCGCCGCCCACGCGGAGATGGAAGACGGCTGCTGGATCTGGAGGTTGAGGGAGACAGATGAGAGCCGCCGCCGGATCCCGGCGCCGCCCTGTTCCGGCAGGCCTTGGGAGACCGGGAGCGACTGCTTGTTGCCCAGAACCTGGAAAACCGTGCTCATGATCGGACGATTTTTTTCCGATCGAAATGTGAAAGTAATTTGATACAGAGAGAAAATGCTCAAGATTTGTTTGTGTTGTGTTTGCCTGCTTTATTATGCGGTTACAATTAACAGGCTGGCCGCCGGTGGGTCCCGCACCGTCGTTATTTTACTATTTTCCGACTTGTATATATTTTCCCTTTTAACTTATTAGCCAATGGACTTCGTAAGAATGTAGAGTTAATTT